CAGTGGAAATTCAGAAGATTATCAATAGCTACTTTGAGAATCTTTACTCTCACAGAATAGAATACACAGAAGAAATGGACAGATTCTTAGAAAGTTAGAAATTACCACAACTCAATCGACAAGATATAACCTCTCTTAATAGCCCAATAACAGCCAATGAAATACAAGATGTAATAAAAAAAACCTACCAACAAAAAAGTGCCGGTCCGGATGGATTCACAGCTGAATTCTACAAGACATTTACAGAAGATGTAGTCCCTATACTCCTCAATCTCTTCAATGAAATTGAAAAGGAAGCAATCCTCCCAAAATCATTCCTGTAGGGAAGTATTATACTGATACCAAAACCAGGGAAAGATGCAACTAAGAAAGAGAACTATAGGCCTTTTACTTTCTTTGTGAGTTTGATTCCAAAGTCCTCATTATTTTGCATGCTATTGTGCAAGGTGTGGTTTCAATAATTTCAGTGTCAGTATGTTCATTGTTTGTGTGCAACATAGCTCTTGATTTTTGTCTGTTAGATTTGTATCCTACTACATTAATGAATTTGGTGATAAAATCTACACAACGTTTGATGGAGTTTTTAAGGTCCTCTATGTACATGTCTTCTGCAAATAATGATAATTTCTTCTTTACCAATCTTTATTTAATTTATGTCTCTCTCTTGTCTAGTTGCTCTTGCTAAGGTTTCAAGATCTATATTGAATAAGAGTAGAGGCAGTGTACATTTTTTCCTTATTCCTGATTTTAAGTGAAGGCCTTCAGTTTTGACCCATTTAGTAAGATAATGGTTTTTGGTATCTCATAGATGGCTCTTTCTGGTAGAGATATAAACCATGTATTTGGATTCTCATCCACCTTGCATTTATTTCTGCTCCATATAATTTCATGCCTTCTTTGGGCTTTGGGCTTGCTTTGCTATTGTTTTTCTAGGAGCTTGAGGTACAACATAAGATCATTTTCTTGGGCTCCTTTTGTTTTCATAATGTGTGAATTTAGCGATATGAATTTTCCTCTTTAGACAACTTTCACTGTATCCCAGCAGTTTCGGTAAGGTGTATATGCATTTTCATTTGATTGTAAACATTTTTAGTCTCTCCTTTAATTTTGACTGTTATCCACTGGTTATTTAGGATGTGGTCATTCATTTTCCATGTGTTTTGGTGTTATTGTAATTTAAATCCACTTCTATCTGTTTTTAAAAATACTATAATTTTCACTGCATAAATCTTTTACTTCCTTGTGCAATTCCTTCCCAAGTATTTCATTTGTTTAGGTGTTATTGTGAAAGGCATGGTTTCCATAATTTCTCTCTTGGTGCATTCATTGTTAGTTTGTAGAAATACTATTGAATTTGGTTATCAAATCTACAGTCTCATAATGGAGTTTTTGGGTCTTCTGTGTATAATATCATGTGATTTAAACATGATAATTTAGCCTCTTCCTTTCCAATAATTTTTCCTTTTCTTTGTTTCCCTTTTGTAATTTTGCTGGCCAATATTTACAGAAGTATATTTAAAAATATAAAGTTCAAACCATTTGTTGCAGCATATAATGTTGCTATCCAATGAGTTATTCATATTGCCAGGTATATGCATGTAAAGAGGGAAGAAGATAGACTATAAGAAAAAAAAGTATGAGAAATTAAGAAAAGAAAACGTAAGAACATTTGCAAAAATGAGATAAAACAAACTAAAGCATTAACTGCTTATTTCCTATATCAGATTGTGGTACTATAAACGTGGGTGCATATATAATGCTGTGCTATGAAGTTTCAGTTCTTGTGGAAAAATATCCAGAGGGGAAATAGCTGGCTTGAATGGAATCTCCAATCCTAGATTTTCAAGGAATCTCCACACGGATTTATAAACCAAAAATGGGCATCTGAGATGAATATACACTTCTCAGAGGAAGAAATACAAATAGCAAGTAAATATATGAAAAATGTTTAGCATCATTGGTCATTCTAAAATTACAAATTAAAACAACACTGAGATTCCATCTCACCCAAGAAAGAATGGCTAACTTCAAGAACTTAGCCAATAACAAATGCTGGAGAGGCTGTGGAGAAATAGGCACCCTTCTTTACTGTTGGTGGGAATTCAGACTGGTATAACCACTATGGAAAAATGAATCTTATAAGCGGATCTGCAGTAATTCTTTTGAAATAGTCCTGCTTTGCATTCTTGTTTCCTTGTTTTAAGATGAAAGAGGTTTTTTTTTTCTCTTTTCCTCTCCATCACTCATGGTTTATTATGTAGAGACACAACACCAAGTCTAAGCCTATAATGTCCCACCAAACAGACAAATGCTGATCACATTCACAAGACATTAGAGGCAATGAATGTCTTTACCTGAACTGAGAGCTCCATGCCTACTCTGTTTTCTGGAAACATCCTCAGGGGCGCATTATACTGGCTCCAACACTGCAGCAGGTAGAGGCAACACAAGGTATTAAGACAAACAAAGCAACCAATGAAATACAGAAAAATAGTCATCATACTATAAAAACTGGGCCTAAAATGTATATTGAATGTTGTACACCTGCATCTTGAAGAGGAAGGAAGAGGGGCAGAGAGAGGCTGTATGACCGCCATGACCTTCTCCTGAACTCCAATGAGGAAGACATCGCCATGCTTCTTTTGAGCTCTGGGCAGACACTTTGGATGGTCGCTCATGCTCCTGTGTTCTCACACATGAAAGCTCAGTTCAGGGCTGCAGGCTCGTTTAATACACATTCTGTGATTAGGAGTTTCCATGAATCAGGAAAAGAGTGAACAAACATATTTGGGAAAGCACAAAAATGTGATGAAGTATGACAAGGAAGGGAGGAGGGAGGGAAAAGTGAAGGCAGAAAGAACACACACCAAGGTAGATCAGAGATTAAATATCAGAATCCTGCAAAATGGGCCTCCTTGAGTTCTAGATAAAGTTTTCTAACTTACAAAGTGCAAATTAGTCATCTTTCATGATCATACCATATTTTGAGTCAATAACTTACACATTATATAGAGAAAGATAAGTCAGTTCAACACGAGATGGGCAGGGAACACTCGAAATGGCAAACTTACATCGAAAATCCATAGAAGCAGACTTATATTTATTTTTTTGTGGAAGCAGGGATTGAACTCAGGCCCATGTGCTTGCCAGGCAAGCGCTTATTCTACTAAGCTATCTCCCCAGCCCCATAGAGGTAGACTTCTAGGTAAGCTTCTAGACAGTGGATACTGAATTGAAAACCCTGAAGCTCATGGAAGAGAAATTAATGAAACTGCAGAACAGAATGTAAACAACAGTCCTTTGTGTAGCATAACTGAAATGACACGGGTTCTTAGAAACACATCAGAGAATTCTTGTGAAGGGTTAGGAAATATACCATGGATCTTGGGTCCTGATGTTCACAAATTTGTAAGGAAACTGATTAGAAAGAGGGTGTTGGACAGAGAGGAAAAGATCTTCAGTACCAGCAGCTCCATGCCACTTTGGGCTAGGCTCCGTCTGACGAGCTTCTCACTGAGTCCTGGCCTCCTCAGGCTCTGATCATCACTAGTCCTCTCCCAGATTACTGCCCCTGAGTAGGATCTATGTGGATCCATTCCAAGAATATCTAGTAGCAGGAGGATTTCTTCAGGTCTGAGTGTGACCGGATCCCTCTCCCATCCTTGTAGAACCCTCACTCTGCTTATATAGCAGTCTCAGAGCAGTACTACTCCAGCTGATAACTAGCCAGGGATAAGTTACTCCACTTGGAATTCAACTGGTGATTGTTTTTATTTTCCCTCCTGTGAGATACACACAATAATTGGTAATGCCATTTGCCCACAAAATCTGCTAAAGCAGCACGGATCAAAGAGTCCTCACAGGTATAAACTGGTGGAAACACACTGAAAATGTCCTTATTTTATGAACTTCAATCTCATTTGATGAGATGAGTAATGCTGAGAAGTTGCTATGCAAATATACATTTTAATCCAAATGATTTAAGACTATTAACATTCAATGGAGAGAATGGAAAAGAGACTAAGAGGGAAAGAAGAGGAGGTGCTGATAAGGAGAAACTGGCAAGTGCAGGAAGAATACGGTGTGCACAATGCGTGGTACGTGCTGCTCTATGAAACATATCACCATTTTTCAAATGAAAGCCCTTGAAGGGTCTCACATGCAAACAGTAATGCGATCATATCCCTCTGCCTGACCTGGGGTCCAGATCTTCTTGAGAATTTTTGCATCTATATTCATTGGACAGATTAGAGTGTAGTTCTGATCTTTTCATTGGATATTTGTTTGGTTCGGCCTGATGATAATTCTATCTTTCCCATTCATTTTTCATAAAGAGGTTGATAGCCATGGATAGAGCTCAGCCACCTGGCAAATACAGGTTCTGGAATTCATTTCCCAGTACCAAAAATAGTTTTAGGACTGTTGGTATTAGTTTTTTCCTGAAGTTCTTGTAGACTCGAGCTGTGAATCACATCCTATTTTCTTAATTGGTAAACTTATTTTTAGTCACGTTTCAGTTTTATTTCCTGTTACTAAATTATTTATTATTTCTAACTCAGTCCACATTTGGTAATTTTTAATTGTCTAGAAATGCTTTTGAATTTTTCAAATTTCATGGCAAATAGATTTGGGAAGTAAATGCTAATAGTTTTCTGAACTTTGATGTTCTTGTGATTTCACCTTTCTCATTTTGAATTGAATTTTTAATTTTTTTTAGTTCACCTGGATTTTTCATTTGTTCAAAAACCATCTAGCTCTTTGATTCATTGACTGTCTGTATGTTTTTCAGTCTTCAATTACTATAACAGAAAGTTTTGTGAATACTTTGAATGTGGAAAATGTGAGCCTGTAGTTTTCTATCTGGATTTTTGAGGAGTTGCTTCCCAAATCCTATGCAGAGCATTGGGCCCAATGGAGACTATTTTATGAAATACCGAACAATGAAGTCTGGCATGCAATTAATTTGCATCATTCCACATGCAATTATCCCAGTAACTTGTGGACATTGGCTTGGAATTTACTCTGCTTAGGAGAACGGAGTCCACGGGGTCTCAATATCTATAAACTTCGGTAATTTGTTGGTGCCTGAGGGTGGAGGTCATTATCTGCAAACTTACTTTCCAGCTTGTGTTTTTCACCTGGAACCTGTTGTCAGATGCAGAGCCCCTGGGACAGCAATGGTGAAATATTCCACCAGGTGCAGGGAAGAGGCTTGACTGAAGAAAGTTAAGAAAATTGGAGGCTCAACCTGAGCCCTTGACAACAATAATTCATAAACACACACACACACACACACACACACACACACACACACACACAATTTCACATACTCATATGCTATATATGTTCAGACTGAGGCTTTGGAGTCATTTCTGGAATGTTCATGTTGACTGTCATCTTGCTTGTTCTGCATGCCCCCCTCAGGCTGAGTAACTTGGCCGATGAAGACTGCTTTCTCAGAATGAACAGCACTGTGCGCGAGGAAGGAGACATGGTGATTGCAGGGATTTTCTCTCTTTTAACTTATGTCTATTTGTCTGAGAGCAGTGACATTAAGCCCAGCAAGGAACCCATGCTCTTAGAGTAAGTTGTCTTTTTAAAATTTTTCTATGTGCTTCATTAGCAGGATGGATACTGCCACACCTACTCACAGAACTCACTTTTAATACGTTGGACTTTTCTTGTTCTTTTTACCTTTTGGAATTAGGAAAGATAGTAGAACTTTGTGACAGCACTTTCAAGCTGATTTTCAGGGTTCAAGCTGAGGCAGAACACTGCACCTCAATGCTCTTTCTTAGCTGTCACTGCTTGAAACTAGAAGGTGTCCATTAGCATTACAGGTCAAGTTATTGAGTAGACTCCAGATCTGACAGACTGCTGTAAAATATCTCTTTCAAAGAAGTCAATGTTTGCTTGTGCTTTTCTTTTGCATATACAAAATTTGTAACATCTCTATAGGTGGATATTATTACTTATATCTCATCTGCCAGAACATGCATCTTACTGCAGATATTCAATTACATTTTGAATTAATCTATAAATCTGTATCATGCCAAACATTCTCAGGCATGAAGGTATAATCAAAACCTCTGAGATTTTTTTCCTATCAAATATTGTTTTTCATTCAAATGCGCATATCTTGCTTCAGGTATTTTACCAGTGGTAGTGAAGGCAACAGCAGAACACATAACACTTAGAGAATTCTTAAGTATAACTTGTACTTCTATGATAAAATTCGCTATAATTCACATTAATGTTTTCTCCTTGCTTTTATTAAACTTTAGAACCACAAGTCTTGCAGATAGTATCTGGACCCTGGGAGAAGGACTATCATAGTTAGGAACAGGAACATCTTTGACATCTATATTTATCTCCTATTCCCTGTCATGTCTAGATATATGCTCATATTATGAATTCAGGTTATATTTTCTGTGTTTTTAAAGGTTTTGAGAGACTCTTGACCTCAAGTGATCTGCTGTCTCAGCCTCCTCTGTAGGTGGGATTACAGACTGTAGTCATATAACATGTGTTTCTTTTTTCCTTATGTTCTAAAGGTTAGCAAGTCTGTGTTTATGGGTTTAACATAAAGTATTTATTTTATAGCTGCTGATGACTATCATTTTTTAGCAATTGAGGTGCTGCAGGGAACTTTTGGTGATGAATCAAGTAAGTCTGGTCTTTGTCTTCTGAAACTAGTTAGAGAAACAAAAATATTCATGGCCCTTGTTGAATAGGATCTAAGTTATTTATCTAATCATGACAACATTTATTATAGGAAGCCCTACAATGCTATATTTCAGAGGGTTGTAAGTTGAAGAGACTCTGAGGACCACATAGGCTCCTGGAATCAATACCCAGAGAGCAGGGCTAAGGGCACAGAATGGCATTGCAGCACCAGTGGATAGGTTCATAGGCCACAGAGTGAGAGGATGAGAACTTCAACACATGTCTGCAGGTTCTTTACCAATTGCCATAGATCAGTGAGATCCAGAGGTGGATTTATTAGGCATAAGTAATTAAGCACATGCCCAACATAAACCTGTTCTGTCTCAAAGTGTGAGGAGTGCTGTCCTCTGGGCTCTGGAGTATTTATGGGTTCCTGCAGGATACCCTGGAGGAGTTCTCTGAGACTTGACTCTCAGTGAGTTTGGATGAAATCATTATGTCTAGGTGCACACAGCCTGGTCTTCTAATGACTTTCCAAAATGGTGTTTATACAGACATTAGAAGTCAATGAAAAAGGGGGGCTGGGGAGGTAGCTTGGTGGGAAACGCATTTGGCTGGCAAGCGCAAGGTCCTGAGTTCAATCCCCAGTTCTGCCAAATAAATAAATAAATAAATAAATAAATAAATACATAAATAAATAAATAAATCAATGAAAAGCCCTCCAAAATTTAAAGGAATTTGCATTGATTCCTCCAGAAGCAAAAAGGATGCATGTTTGAAAGGAATCATAAGCAGAGGAATGTCACCTGCGTCCAAAACAAAACTGTATATGTACAATTTGTATATATTCACTGAGCACAACCCTTCCCCTCTACTTTCCATCTATACCCCTGGGAAGAACTTAAGAGCACCTCTAAAACATTTCTCTGAGAAACTGGCTCTGTAGCTCATTCAGGCACAGTCAGAAATTTTCTTCTCTGATTTTTCAGGCAATTTCCAAAGTGAACCAAGTCAGCAATCCTCTGTGTCAGTCACTCTGAGAGTAACTTATCAGAGACAAGTAAATAGATAAAGCCCACAGCTGCATATAGATTCTGGATTGGGGATGTAACTCTGCTGTGGATCATTTAGCAAACGAGTTTCTGAACTGAAGCTGCAGCAATGCAAGGGAAAACGAGATAGCAAGACTGCATGTTCTCCACACTAGTGAAAGGAGCATTAACAGGAGCTGAGCATCAACTAGGCTGTCAACAAAGCCTAAACACAGACATAAAATGAAAATAGCACAAGGAGAATCTCAGCAGTATTCTAGATGTAATCATATGCCAGGTAAAAGTACACAAATTTGTCACTGCTTGGTGTACTGTTTCAATACTGCAAAAGTACAGGGTAGCAGTTCCAGCACCAAGAACTGCTGCATCAGCAGACAACTTCTGCACAGACTGCAGAGAGGGGTTTTAGGGTGATTAAGTGTATGCTATTGATTAGGTGCTTTAGTTTTATTATGCTGATATTTTGCACTTTATTCTTACTACGTCGTATTGATTCTCAGAAGGAGTGCACAGCTAGATTCTTTGCACTGAGTAAATTCAAATGTTATTGCTGTTCTGACTGGAGGTGAAGATCAGGCAGTGAGGTGTGCTGTGTGGAGCAGCTTTAAATACAGTTCAATCTTTGCTTGTCTGTCTGCCCTCACCTTCTGCTGTGCAGACCACTTCTGAAGGGATACAAAAAATTATAAAGACCTCAGATCCCTATGTTCAGAACAGGGGCTATTTGAAGCATGGAATACTATAGATGTTATATTTTGTAATGAAAGTATTCTATATTTATCATAAGAATTAATGACATGAGGAAATTTTATAATGTTATGTGTCTCAAATTCCAAGAGCCATCAATGCTGGAAATGCTTCCACCAGCTCCCAAATATCCTCCACTTCCAGCATTCCTCCTCCTTGCAGAATCTGAGTTGATCTAAGTTTCCTGGGTCTTGATGATGGTAGATGAAAAATTATGATAGGACAGAGACTGACTTAAGTTCAATGCCATCTCATAGCCTTCCCAAAGTTTTAATTTCTTTCTTTTTCTTTCAACCCATCATACAGAGTACACAGGAATTAGTACTTCTCTGTGTTGGTAATTCCAAATTTATGAAAACATTGCTGATGTAATATGAAGCATTTAAGAATATTTTAGCATATGTGATTTCTTTATTTATTACCTCTAAAACTTTTTGAAAAGCCACTTTCAATATAACTTTTATTTCTATTGTATGAGATAGAAACATTTCTTCATGGTTGTGGAGGTTGATAAGGGAGTTTAAGAGTCTATGTGATTTTACTTTTAAGAAATTGAACTTTTATGTCTTTACAAGACTCAGCTCTTCCAAAACCAGTTCAAATTTCTCAGGTGTTTATCAACAAAGTACTGCCTGTAATTGCTTATTCTCTACGTAAATTTAGCACACAAAGGGTGACTTTTACATTTACTATACACTTCTAACAGTTAGTTGTCAAGAAGGTTACATACTTTCCTGTTCATGAGTGGCACACTTATCAATGTATCTTACAAAAGAATGAAACTTCTCTTTCTGGTCACTTGTGAGGATACTGCTATAATTCATGAGAAGTCTGTCTTTATGATATCCAAAAATCAATTCTTCATGCAATGACAGTCAGTGGTAGATCTTGGAATGCAAATTTGGGGAAATGAAAAACTCATTTTTTCCTATAAGTTTCATAGCTGATTTGAAAACCATGATGGTTTGAGTTTTATAACTTCTGTGCTTTGTACGCAGGCTTTTGCCCAACATCTACCAGAATGTTCTAACCTTTATTTTTGCCATTGAAGAGATCAATAGAAATCCTCACCTTTTATCCAACATATCTCTGGGATATGAATTCCATACTTTCATGCCCAATCATTGGAGGATGCTGGAGAGCTCCCTCATCTTGCTCACAGGACAGGACGATCTCCCCAATTACACCTGTGTGAGGGAGAGCAAGCCCATAGCTGTACTAACAGGAACATCATGGGCTATGGCTGTTCATGTAGGGACACTGCTGGGACTCTACAAATTTCCACAGGTGAGGTGGGTGGGATGGGAAGAGATGAAACCACAACATCTTAGTGGAATTTTCTGGTGCCTGAAAAGGGTGAAGGGATATGACTGGATCCATGAACTTGGGAAAGGGAATACTTTCATGTGAAAATCCCTGGGGGCAGTGGATGACTTATGCATTCCTCCTGTACAGCATAGAATAAGACGTAACAAAGTAAACCTTTCTTGAAATGTTAGTGTGCTTGGTTATTTTCCATTACTCACTTAGTGATTAAGATTATTATAAAAGGTGAATGCATGCATATTTGCTCGTACTTATAGTTTTCCTTTATATCCTTTGAGTCTAAGACTGCTTTTCTTTCAAATCTCTTTTTATAAAGACTCAATTTTTTTTCCTCTTAGCTTACCTTTGGTGGCTTTGACCCTACGCTGAGTGAAAATCCACAGTTCTCCTCTCTCTATCAGATGGCCCCAAAGGACACATCTTTGGTTCTTGGCATGGTTTCCTTGATGCTTTACTTCAGGTGGACTTGGGTAGGGCTGGTTATCACAGAAGGACAGAAAGGTAATCTGTTTCTATCAGATGTGAAAGCTGAAATGAACAGGAATGAGATCTGCGTGGCCTTTGTGCAAATGATCTCCAACGTTATCCTGTCAGTATTTTCTCACGCACAGCAACGTGACTTCCTGCACAAGGAGGGGTCACCAGTAAGTGTGGTGATCATTTACTATGACACCGAGAGTACCAATGACATCAACTTCCATATTGGGCAATATGTAATGACACACACTGTCTGGGTCACAAACTCACAGTGGCATGCCGACATGGCTGGGAGGAATTTTCTACTTGAACCATTCCGTGGCACTCTCATTTTTTCACGGCATCATGAGGAGGTTTGTGGTTTCCAGAATTTTATTCAGGCAGTTAACCCTTCCACATATCCAGATGACAATTTCCTCACTCTGTTTTGGTACGAGCATTTTCAGTGCTCGGTCTCTGATTTTGAGTGTACTTTGGAGAACTGCATACCTAATGCCTCTCTGGCCTGGCTGCCTGTGAACCGTTTTGACAGGACCATGAGTGATGATAGTTACCACACATACAATGCTGTGTATGCTGTGGCCCACGCCCTCCATGAGATGCTTCTTCAGCGAGGCCAAACACATCCAACGGGAAATGGAGAAGGAACAGTGTTTTCTGCTAGGCAGGTAAAGTTTCTTTCTGTTGTTCTCTATGTAATATATCTTAAGGGGTTCAATAAGTACTCAAAGTAAATACTTAGAATGTTTTCTCTAAAAATGCCGAAGAAATTGTGTTGGCATTTTATTGTCAAGGAGCTCAAACTAACCAAGGTAGAATGCCTCATTGAAATAAGATCCATTGTGCCAGGGAGATAGCTCAGCAGAATAAGCATCTGACTACAGAACAGAAGGTATGTAGTTCGATCTTCAGTATCAAATCCAAAAATAAGTCCATGCATAGTTAATCCAATGGTACAAGCACTGTCTTCTTCAATGAACTAGTAGAAATTAGTACTACACATATCCCAATTACATGTAAACATACATGATACACATATATGCTGTATATCTTTATCATACATACATATATGTGAGATGTTTTTGTTTCTCTTTGCCTTCCTTCCTTTATCCTTTCACATATTCAAGTTGTTCATGCCTATACTTTTTAATCGGAGCAATTACTTTGAAGGAAATAAGATACTAACAATTGCAATGTAATAACAATTGTTAATGTTCTAGTATTCTGTTTTGTAGTTCTACATTATTTTATTGTTTTTCACTGTTTAAAGTAAAAAATATTTCAATAGCCCATAATAGTAGTGGGATATCAGCGGAACTGGAGATGTCCAAAGTTGTTGACTTGAGCCTTTTAGAGCTCAGCATATTATAATATGGCTTTACTTTTTATACTTCATTATTAGGTTTTTCTCCTGGATAGTTAAGCCCAAGATAAAGCAAGGCCTATATGAGAAAAAAATGGAACTTTTGTATTGGACAAGCTCAGTCAAATCCCCTCAGGGTATACCCTGAAACCATGTACAGCAGTTTGTAGATCTTTTGTCAGTGTCAGCCATCTGGATGAGTCAAGGCCATTGCTTGAATTCATGCACCAAAAATATGTGAATGGCAATGGAACATCCATCTCTGACAAAACAAAAAAGGGGGATATAAATGAAGGAGCATTTTGTAGAGAAAAATATATATGTGTGTGTATATAAAAATAATTAGGATAGATATACAGCTACTTTCTCTTCGTTCAGTGAAAAGAAATGTCTGTACTAATAGTGTTAGACAATACATCGTGTCTGCATCTTGTCCTCTGAATAGCTACTATGAAGACAACAATATGCAATGTATTATTAGAGCTGTCCTGATGACTTGTTTTGAAACAGTCTCATTGCCATTTCTTTCTCATCAAACTTAATAAAAAATGTAAAAAAATACAATGGAAGATCCATTGGTAATGTGATAATGAGTCCGCATTCAAGATCAATAATTTCTTTTCCAAAGGATCTTAGCATCCTATTCATATAATATTTTTTTTCCTTTTTTATCATAAATTTCTTTTATTTATTTTTTAAATTTTTTTCCATAATTTTATTGATGGCAGATAGCAATGAGACAGTTTCAAATCAAATCAGTAGGACAGTTTCAACAAACAAAACACGGCATATATTATTCTTCGTGGTTAATTGATGTACAGGATGTGGACTTGAGATCCTATTTACAAACACCATTAGAACAAATCATTATATTCATTAAGAGAATGTAACTATATATCTATCCCAACCACTTTGAATACACAGATATAAAATGGACATTCATCTGTATACCCCTATTTTTTGAAGTTCCGTTATTTGAAGATTATAGGTGTGTAAACTCAGCAAAATATTCTGAAAGAGTCCAGTAGCCCATAATATCATTGGGTCTTCTGTTTAACTGGCAATGTCAGAAATTATTGACCTGAGTCCCCCACAGCTCAACATAACAGAATGACTTTACTTCCTATATTTAGACTTCATACTATTCTACTGGATGGTTAAGACCAAGGTAAAGCAGGATCTATGCAACAAGAATTATAGCTTTTGGGACTGATAAGGACAGTGAAATCCCCTCTGCATTTACCCTGAGATCCTGTAACTCAGATTGTAGAAACTTTGTCAGTGTCAGCCATGTGGATGAGTCACGGCCATTGCTTGGTTGATGTCCTCTCTGTGAAAGCCTGAGAGAGTGTTTTCTCTCCAGTGACTCCCTTTTGGCACACTCTACATAATCGATCACTTTCCTCTTTGACCCATAATCTCCTTGATCAGAAAATTGGGACACCACCGAGATACATGACATTACAGTACAAGTTCTCATATGTCCTGAGTCTTAATTGACCTTAGAAGGTTAGGGCCAAAACGATGGCTTTCCTTGCGGCCCTCATTTTTCTCTAATTTTGGTCTGCAAACTTAGGTTGTTAACCATCCAGAAGACAATTGATATTGATATTGATATTGTTATTATCAAACGACTTAGGCTATTGAGCTTAAACTCACTATCTCTCTGCATTTCAAACTTCATAGGCATAATAAGGTAGAGGTATTTTTCATCAAGTATTGATATGTGGAACTGTAAGTCCCTACATAATACGATAAAAAAATTAAAAATTAGATTATATTTTAAAAATAGGATAAAGAATTATATACTTTTCATGTTTGCACATAAGTCCAAAAATCTCACCATATACAGCCTGGAAGCAGGACAGTCCCACAATATTCTTTTTCCTATCTCCCGCTTTCATTCACCAAACCCTTCTTCTTGAACATCAACCTACCCGAGAGACATAGTAGCACCAACTGGCATGTCATGACAAGCAGCCCATATTCAGAACACCAGAAAGACAAGCACTCCAAACATGAAACTACTATTACAAATTACCATCTGCAGTGCAGTAGTTAGTTCACAGGTATCAGTATATATAGTTAGTCAGGGTGAGAATCTTTCCCCTTAACTTCTAGATTAAAAAAATCTTCTAAATATTCTCAGAAGCATTACCTTGCTCATCTTTTACATATAAGTGTACTGCTTGACATTGTCATGTTTCCTAGCTCTTCTCCTTTCCCTCTCTTGATTAGTTAGTCCTTGAGATCCTGCTTTCCTTTTACTTGTATTATATCTCTCTAATTGTATGTCTTCTTTTGAGAGTTTATACTAGGGAGACTATATGATATTTACCCATGTGAGTCTGGTTTACTTCACTTATGAGTATATTTTCAAGTGGCATCCACTTCAATATACAGGCTTCGAGTTTATCATTCTTAATAGCTGAATAATGCTCCATTGTGTAAAAATACCACATCTTTTTCAACCATTCCTCAGGTGATGGGAATCTTGGGTGTTTCTAAGATTTAGCTATCACAAATTGTGCTGCTATAAACATAGACACACATATATCCCTATGATATGATGTTTTCGGATCCTCTGGGAAAATTCCCAGTAAAGGAATAGCTGGTTTAAAGGGGATTTCCAGACCAACTTTTCTAAGGAGTCTCCATACTTATTTCCATAAGGGTTGCACCAGTTTACATTCCTACCAGCAGTGGAAAAGGGTTCATTTTTCGCCACAGCTTCTCCAACATTGGTTGTTGGGTGATTTCTTTATGATAGCCATTCTTTCTGGGGTGAGATGATATCTCAATGTGGTTTTAATTTGCATTTCACAATTGGCTTGTGATGTGGAGCAGTTTTTCATATATTTATTCGCTTCTTTAATTTCTTCCTCTGAGAAGTGTGTGTTCACCTCGGATGCCCATTTCTGGATTGGGTCTTTAAATTTTGCGGCCCTAGTGTTTTTCAGTTCTTTATAGAGTCCAGACAGCAGACCTTTGTCTGAGTACTTATTTGTAATGACTTTTTTCAAATTTGTGGGTTGCCTTTTTACTTTGTTGGTAATTTCTTTTGACGTGAAAAAACGTCTCAGTAAGAGCAGGTCCCAGTTTTTAATTCTTTCAACTGTTACCCGTGCGAATTGATTTCTGTCCATGAACTCTTTGCCTACCCCTATGTCTTCAAGAGTTCCTCCTACTTTCTCTTCCAGGAGATTTAGTGTCTCTGTTT